TGCAGTCGAGGAGCTCCATACCAAGATCCATGAAGCCCTTGCTTCCCCAAGATTGCCATTATATGTAGCCTTTGTTGACTTTAGGAGGGCCTTCGACTGCATTGACCGGTCACTTCTTCTGCGAAAGCTATCTGACATGGGTTTATCTCACAAAATGCTAAGAGCAGTCTGATCTATTATATCAATTAACTACATAGAGATCATGTCCAATGGCTCATTAAGTAGGAAGGTGCCTCAGACTAAAGGACTCACACAAGGTGACTGCCTCTCGCCTCTACTATACATTCTCTTTACGGCCGATTTGCCACAATGGATCGAAGCTGATGGTTCCTGTACAACTTTGTTGTACGCTGATGACCTGGCGATTTGCTCTAATGAGTCACCTGAGTTGCAAGCTGCACTCAATAGGCTTTTTAATTATTGTAAAGAAAACATACTAACAGTCAATACGGATAAGACTAAAATTGTTAAATTTAGAAGAGGCGGGCGACTGCGTAAGGACGATGTTATATTGTATAATAGAAATCAGATTGAGTTTGTTTCCAGCTTCACATACCTAGGTGTTGTCCTGATGACAAAGGGTGGAGTTAGTGGACACATTGACCATTTAAAAAAGAAGGGAATTTCCGCTTGCGCGAGATTAGCCATCAATATGCCTCTAGCTCGCATGACATTAGAATCTCTGGAACGTCTGTTTCTCTCGGTAGTCATACCTTCTGCCACATATGGTATCTCCGCGCTCGTTAACAGACTTACCGCGGAGGATTTCGACTTTCTAACGACAGTTCAATGCCGCTTGCTTAAATTTTGGTGGGGTATCTCAAAGTTCGCCTCATCCATCCATATTCTAGAAGCCTCTGGATGGCTTGCTGCGGGGCCATTGATAAAGGCACATTTTTGCGAAGGAGCCCCTCTAGCTTCTATTACCTCTCCAGTCCGGTGCCGTTCCCCTTCAGTGGAACTAACGGGGTCTCACAGGAAGGTATGGGGGAGATGGTTAGGCACAGCCTTCCACTCGCTTTGGTGCTATAAGCGTTCATGCTTCCATCTCAACTGCGACTGCAGGTGTAGATTATGTGGTTCCGCGGAGAACCTCCAGCGCGAACACCTACTGCAATGTGAGTGGGTTGTAGGGGACTTTGTCTCCTTTGACGCTTTGGCTCTTCTAAATTTGGAGAGAGCGTTAATTGCTACCCTGCCACCGGGTTAAAAAAAAAAACAAAAAAAAAAACAAAAAAAAAACCAATTATAATAATAATAATAATGATCGATCCTTTGTCATCAGGTTGTTTTAGCTCTTTTCTTCTTGTGAAGAATGTATTCAATTTTTGAATAAAACGTTACACAATAATAATAATAAGTATATGTATATATATGTATGTGTATATATATGTATGTATATATATATGTATATATATGTGTGTGTATGTATGTGTATACACATATATATATATAGATATATACATATATAAATATTTACATATACATATATACACATACTGTATATATGATCAAGGCCCAAGATCTCCATTTTACGCTAGGCCTACTCCATTGCCAGTGCCATGCGACGTTTATGTGTGTTGTTCTATTAGTGTGACTACAAACGTCACTGTGTGCATCGCAAATTATTTGTTATTTTAAAGTGGGCAGCGTAAAAATCAGTGGCTGGATGGTAATGGCTACAGTACCGACACAAAATACTGCATTTTTACCTGCGCGCAGGCTTCGTAGATACATCGTAGCCTGATGATATAAACAATCTAAGCAAGGCCGGCTACGCAAAGCGAACCTACGAAGCAAAAGCATGTTGTTTATTTGTATGTGCAGACAGACTGCTGTAGCTTACTGGAATAAACAATGTATTGCTTGATAATTTGTTAATGACAAGCACAAGTTTAGACCGTTAATTTAAAGTATGGAGTTGTTTTTCAATAAGAAAAATGTACAATTGACTTCTGTATTGTTTTTTTTTTTTTTATTATTATTATTAGCCTGGCCTAGGCTAGCCTATTTTTTTTATCTAGTTATCGAACTAAACACAGTTTTAAAACATGATCGACGATTGCTTTAACCCATCAATCTAATAATAAGGTAGGAAATAACAAAACAATAAGTTCTAACATTGTTTATTAGTAAATTGCAACATTGTTCACGTGCTGAAAGCTGGTAAACTATATTTCAGTATTGTTTACGCATTGTTTATCAGCCTGACGATCCAGCCTACGAAGTTTGCAAAGCTAATTAAAATAACAATGACCTTCGTAGTGGTTCGTAGCTACGTTCAAAACATAACCTACGAGCAGATTACGACAGGTTACGCGCAGATACGAAGCAGTACTGTAATTCCTGTCTGTACTGTAATTTCTATGTTCACGACGGTCGGCTAGCTGTTAGCGTGCCCCAATTTCCCAAGTGCAGACAAAACAGCAGAACTAAAGCAGCCGACTGCCGGGTAAATAATGGCTTTCGAGCTTGAGGGTTTTTACTTGAATGCTTGAATGATTTCAATGTCAATGGCCAGGCCGCGATTTTTTTTTTCCGTACGAAACATTTGCATGAAGCTTCACTCGGACCATTTAAGTGCATAAGTGGCTAAAACAATTTTTAACATTTTAGCCAATTTTGGCTAAACAAATATCCAATTGGCTAAATTTTATTTTTTTTTTGCTTTAGTCAATTGGCTAAACAAAAATGAAAGTTAGAGTGAACCCAGCATTCACTCACCAAACTGTCTACTTATATCATAAACCTCTACATAAATATCTTCATAATTACAGTACAAAATATTTCAAAAAGTTGGGTACACAACAAACCTTACAACAACCATATTTCCTTTATTATCACTGTACACGACATCACACCTTTCCTAACTGTTACGTGAACACAAAAAAGGTCTATGATGATGCATACAACTAACTCTAACTTTAAATGTTTTTCTTTATGCTCAATACACATAACAACACTCCACACAACCTCCACCCACCGACAGCACTTAAACATTGCCAGCTATTGTCAAGTGGGCTATTGCATCATTGATGCTCTCGTTATAATAATACTGTACATGTGTAATTTGTTTTTCTACATTTTTGTTATTTTTAATGTTTATTATTCAGTGCATAATTGAAAGTCATTTTAAGTATTAGAAGTGTTATTAATTATGTATTTATTATGGTATTAAAAATAAGTTTTTATTCACTAAACTACTGTACATTTCAAGCATCTGATTGGTTAAAAATGCAAGTATAATTTTATTGTTTTTTGCAATTGAATCACAAAGTTCCCTGGCACAGGTATTTCTTACTCTCAGACTCATTGTTTTCGTAAACACTGAACTGTTTTATAGAAAACTCTAAGCCTCCTAAGATGAATACTTCAGCAATATGTCTGCTTTCACTTGTTATCTGTAAACACCATGAGTTTACCTAACCTAAGCACTCGCTGTGTCCTATGACATTCGTACGACGGTCGTACGATGAATCCAAATTCGCTCTTCTTGTGAGCGCTAAAAGACGTGTGGTGTTGCCTTCTTCATAGAATTGCATTGGTCAAAACTCTCTGGTGCAGTAAGTTCCTGGCTTAACGATGGCTAATTTCACACATTTCTGCTTCTAATTGATACATTAAGAGGGTGTGTAAGGTCTTGTGACTACAGTTGATAGTGAGAGTACAAAAAGGCATGTGACATTCAGAGAACAATGATCTGAAATGTAAACAATTTTATTTTCAGTATTTCCACAGCCAAAAACTCAGCTAGACCTGATTTAGGCTAAATCATGTAATATACATTATATATGGCTATACCAAAATATTTCTTTTTTGAACCAATCTGTGAAGTGTGGATGACACACTGTGGCTTTTATACAATGAGGCTGGTCATCCCAAAACCAGTGTACTGTTGCTAATGTTAAACTGAGTAAGTAGCATATATGGCAGTATGGTATACTTTAGTACATAAAAGCCATAATACTTCCACTTATGACTTTGGCAATTGTAAGTTGAAAACTTATCATGACTAAACAAATCTAATAGAAACAACAACATTCTCCTTCTCCTCCAGTAGAATTTTGACGGTAATATTATATGCTGTATTTTCAAATTTATAGTTTCATAAGGGGTGTTTATTTCAGTATATGTACCCAGTTTACACCAAAAAAAATATAACACTCAACAATAAACACTCCGGGCATTTATTTAAATAAATACGGATTCATTGCTTGATTTGTACTGATTTGTATGTTTGTTTACTCTTTTAGAAAAAGCCTCTGATCAAAGCAAAAGGTTGGTTGTATTTAGTGATAAATGTTTGCATGTTCGCTTGGCTTTTTATTTTAGTGATTTATTTTCTATTCTAAGAGAATGCTTTATTTTTTACAAATTTTGCTTGGTTTACGAGGCATTTTTGTTCATCCGACACATTATATTCTGTATTTGCATACTTATTATGATTATTAATCAACTAATATTTAGTCCAGTCAATCTGTGGGTTGACCCAAAACTAATTGCAACTGAAATAATGTTTGCGGAATCTGTTCAAAATAACACACTAAAAAATCCAATCGGTGGAAGAATGTTAATTTTAAAGATATTCATGAGTTAACATCCAACGTTTTATTGTGTTACATCGCCCAAATGCTGCGTCGAAGGGTATAAAAACCTGTAGTTGTTAACACAAAAAAAACATTCTTAAATAAGATAGATGCCCATGCGCGAACGCTTTTTAATAACACAGTGATCAACACAAAGTTGTGCCAATGCTCTGCATTGCCTGGTAATATTATATTTATTTATTTACTTCCAAGCAGCCAACAGCAAATAATCGCCACTTACATGATAGACACAAAGTATAGAATATAAACTCAAGCAAGACAATCACACTCATTCCGCATGCAATTAAAATCATGCTTAACATCATTGCAGACAGAATGATAGACTCTCTAGAGAGAATGTTACCGCCGGAACAGGCAGCTTTTAGAAAGGAAGGGTAACACGGAATCACATCAGAAACGTCAGGAATATAATGGAAAAAAAGAGAGAATTTCAACCACTTTACCATTGTTCATAGATTACTCAAAGGCCAACGACCGTATCCAACACTCGTTAAGGAAAGTAACCTAATCAGTAACGTAAGTTATGCAGATAACACCACTTTGCTAGCAACATCAGCTACTGAATTATTAAACCTAATTGGACTTGTGAAAACTGTAAGGAAAGAGCATGGGCTTTCTGAATATTAAAAAGATGAAAGTGATACTCTGTAATGATGAAGAGGTTGATGGAAGTGAACTGGAGAGTATACTCATTTAATTTCCTGGGATCTCAATTAGAAAAGGATGATGGTTGCACCAAAGAAATAAAAAGGAGAATAGCAATGGGAAAATCAAAAGTAACATCTTCAAATGTTATTTTGAAAGATAAAAGCATTCAAAGAACAACAAAAATATGTATCGTGGAAAGTATTATGTTTCCCATTGTTCTATACAGCAGTGAATCATGGTCTATTGGGAAAAAATGATAGAAAGAAAGTGGCAGCTTTCGAGATGTGGTATTGGCGGAGACTTTTAGGAATATTGTGGAAAGAGAAAAAGACAAATGAATATGTGATGTCCCTGATAAGAAAGAGAAGTAGTCTATGTGACATCACTGACAAAAGCAGAAGAGAAGGGTGATAACATCGAGAAAGTAATAATTCAAGGCTCAATCTGTGGAAAAATGCAAGAGAGGATGACAAAAGTTGAGATGGGCTGATGGCATATGTTTAGCAACAGGCCTATCTACGAATGAAGCTTGCTGTGCAGCACAAAATCAATCATTATGGAAGGATGTCATCAGAAGAGTCACAATGGATCAGCCATGAACCAATTGACAAGAAGAAGAAGAAATCTCTAAACTAATATAAATCAGACGAAGCAGGAAATTGAAGGTATTAATATCTCCGTAGAGAAAAATTAAATCTGAAAAATTAATGCTAGAATCAGGTGTAAATAATTTGAAAGCGGATTTCAAGGAACTGAAACTACGAGAAAGCAAACGAGGTAACATTATTCTCTGATATTTCTGAAGCAGATTCCATTAAACCAAAAGAAAGAATCGAGCCTGATACTAACAAATTTAATAACTTTATTAGTATTGCTTTAGGCCTTTCATTTTGTGATATTGTCTTCATTCACTGTTGTGGTCAAAAGGATAAGGATGCTGTGAGATCAACTTCAAGACCAATTAGAATCAGGCTTGAGTGAAGAGAGGGACGAAGCAAGGAAATTTTGACTTGAAAATATAAAAGCCAAGGAAGTTTGCCATCAGTAAATAAGTAGAAGTTAAACGAGAAGGTGGAACAATTCTGAATTGGTTATATTTCCTTCAGAAGAGACATTAGTCGATTCTTTTACAGAAATTAATAGTACCAGAAATGAGGTGTTGGACTCCTGGTCGAGAGATCGGGAGTTTGAGACCGACGCTTGCCACATTGCTTGAGTCCTTGGGCAAGACACTTTACCTACGTTTACCTCTATTAACACAGGAGTATAATTGGGAGGGTCAGGCTGTTCACCTACTCATTGGTGACCCTGCTATGACTGTTCCAGTCAAATTAATAACAGCAATTAGATATCAAGTGATATTATACAAGACAAAAAATAATTATTTTTTATATGAACTGTGATGTGATAACTACAAAAATTAACAAACTAAGGATTAGAATTGCTTTCTTGCAGCCACATATTATTGCTACTGTAAAGCTATATAATTGCTGAATCTCTATATCAGTTTATAACCTTACCAATCTTTACAATCCATTTAATGTCCATACATGAAGGGCTCATAAGCAATACGCTTCAAGAGTATCTATTACAAATAAACAATAAAAAAATAACTAACACTTGCTTTTTTATTCATTATCAAATAAACTAGAAACACAATATAGAGTTCACATAAAAAAACTGTACCGAAATGCATGGTGGGAATACAAACAATGGGGCGCGACGTATGGCTATATTTAAAAAAAAGTTCTGCCAAATTTACATAACTGAATACATAACCTCCTTTTGCGGAGGTAGAAATCATTGCTGTTATCCATAATATACAAACAGGCATAAAGATATCAAAAGAAAAAAATGACACTCAAAAATGCAGAATCGTGTGACTGGACTTTGATATGATAAAGTTTTTATCATTAGCGGAAATAAAACGGTGCTGCGTAGTCTAGATTTACTTAGCAAAAGACGGGCGCCGTGTACATCTGGATATGATTTGGATCAACTTGCCTAACTTGCTATTACGTATTGAAAACTGAAGAGGCGTTGCTTACGTCTGGATTTGCATATTAATGTGATATATTTCTTCCACCTCATTTTTGCTATGCAAGTGCTCTATCATGTGTTTCTAATATCTTTGTCTTTATACATAATTACATGCCTGCTTCACTAAACAGTCTTGACTCTGCTTCTCTTTCCAAACATACAGTATATTATATATATTGGAGAGCCTTTAGATAGTGATTAAGTTCGCTTTTAGGTAATCCTCAGGCTTTTTGTTTTTTGTCATTTGTTTCTCTTATCTATTGTTCTGTATTGTCTTGCCTGGAAATAAATAAATAAAAATAAAATATACAAATATACTTTATAAAGTACTATTTGGCCCTACAATACATGCAAGAGTCGCTGACCAAACGCAATAATTGTTATGTGTACAATTAACAGGAAACTGCTAATATATTAAAATTTATTTTCCATAATTGGGTACTTTTCAGATTACTGGTTTGTGGCCCTTGGATGGACAGCCCTCTAGGCTGACAAGGAGGGTTACTGGTACTGAGCATATTATTTTGTGCTCCCTTCAAGGGTCTTTGTTTCAGCCTCACTGTAAGAGCTACTCTCATAAAAGAAAGTTGAATAACATTGTTCCTTGGAATAAATAAAGAAGACTTTCTTCAACCCCAAGAAAATTGGTTTTGATTTTTGAACAAATACATTGTGTATTTTGTGTCAAAATGTTGGCGACCCTTGAAATGAGGGTCGGTCGGTGGGCAGTTTTTTTTTGTTTATAAACTATTGACAAATGCCTATTGATGGAATTGTGACCACTGGGTTCAAAAAATTTATTAAAGTTTGAAAAGTACCCTTTGAAAACATTAAATAAATATTTTGGTCTCCTTGGTAGATTTTTTAGATTTGAGTCAGCATACATTGGACAATGCGGCAAAGGGGTTTTCTGGCTTTATGGTCTTAATATCTTACTTTTGGAACATCAAAATATATTAATGTTCTTAATTACGTGGTTGCTTACTGCTTGTCGTTTGCATTGATTTAGATGAATGCTACACTTAGCTTTGATTCTTTGATATTTTTTGTCTCTGAAAATTTCTTTTTTGGAAACATTTATTAGATTTCATTTTTAGTTTTTTATTTTATAATTTAATTTTGAAGGACTGGAATATGCTGTGAGGTGCTGTAGCAGGTAGAGTAGCATTTTTCCAACGTCTGTTTTATTCGGCAAATTGAGGTCGTAGATTGCATCCGCTATTATGACTGGTGCATACAGGCCAACTATTATTCTGTTAAATTTGCTAAGTAAATCTTTTTTTTTTTACATTTTTTTCTTCTTCTTTACTTTACTTTACTTTTATTTTATTGATAAAACACAAGCCAGTATTACAAATGATAGCCGAATGGGCCAAATTGCTTGTAATATAACAAAAGGCAATATCACTACACTAGCCAGTATTACAAATGGTGGCCGAATGGGCCAAATTGCTTGTAATATAGCAAAAGGCAATATCTGAAAAATGCAGATATAAAAATATCAAAACACAAAGGAATAAAGTTGCAAATTGAACCGAAAATTAATAGCACCAATCGGGAAGGAGGGTGGCACATTCAAATCATCAAAGGTAATATTAATGTATAAATTATAAATCATTGAGTAATCGGATATAATAAGGGATTGGGCTATTAAAAAAATCTGTTGGAATTTGGGTCATAGTTTGCTAATTTTACATGTTTAGTGATAATTAAATTTAGTACTTTTTACAAAGTCAATTAATAAAATATGAATTAAAGGTGTTGCTTATATTTTTTGGATAACAAAATCATATAAAATCAAAGTTGAATGATCAAAATCAATGAATGTTTTGTTTTGGCCAAATGCATACACAGGACTTTAAATCTTTGCTTTACTTGTAAATCACAAAGCAAAGTACAAAGTAATGATATTAACAATATTGCAAAATAATGAACCTTTATTGTTTTTTTTTCTTCCTTTTTCAGATTTGGGAAGTATTTTATTCTCTAAATTTAAATTCAACGTTATGAACAGTAAGGCATTTAAGTTGGAAATAAAAAAAAAATAATCATGCCTTTTTCTTTTTTAATTAGACACCATCCTATTGGAGAACCACATCCTTCCAGTAAGAGAGTTTACTTTATTTTAATTAGTCTCCATCCAATTAAAAGACCACATTTGAGACTGGGGCTTTCATAGCCTTTAGCAATTGTGACTGGCTCTGGCAAAACCTGCCATTTGTTGCAATTTCTAATTTTGCAGAAGCACCCAAAGCGTCAGGGAATCATAATTTGGAGATTTTCAGGTTTTTGCTTTTTATAAAAGAAGTTATATTTAGAACATTTCTGTAAAATATCAGTTACTAAATATAACTGAAAAGCATGAAATTTATTTAAAAATGCAAATCTTAATAATACATTATTGATTCTTGAATCTTTCTGTTTTCCAATGTTCAATGAATTAAATATTCATAACTTCGCTAATACACAACCAATATCCATTAAATTAACACTGTTGTAAAGAAGAATTCATGCAGAATCTAACAATACCAACTTTTTTTGCCAAACTGTTGGTTTTGCCAGAGCCAGTCACAATTTATTAAAAATGTATGATGTGTTCATTTGGTGCTGCAGAAAAGTGTCTTAAATTGGAGTGAAACCTGTATATAAATGTGTATAAAATAAATAAATATAAAGCCTTTAGCAATTGTGACTGGCTCTGGCAAAACCTGCCATTTGTTGCAATTTCTAATTTTGCAGAAGCACCCAAAGCGTCAGGGAATCATAATTTGGAGATTTTCAGGTTTTTGCTTTTTATAAAAGAAGTTATATTTAGAACATTTCTGTAAAATATCAGTTACTAAAATATATGTAATATGTAATATATAATATATATATATATATATATAATATATATATATATATATTTATATATATTTATTTATTTATATGATAAAAACAATAAAAAATAATTGTATCACTAAAGATCAATTTACTGTGGATGCAAATGGTAGAGGAACAATCAGTCTGACGATTTCAAACCCTACAAGATTAAATGAAGGAAACTACAAGTGCACCATAGTGGGACGTGGAAAACCATATTCACACAAGAACGAATTACATGTACATTGTAAGTTATTATCATTGAAATTCTATTAAATATATTTACTTTGTGTAATATAATAATATTAAAGGCCAGCGTCAGTCTAAATAGACAATGAAATATTTTACTTGACATTAGTTAATGTTAATTAATATTAATAATGTTAATTGAGTGCATAATAACAGTATATATAATGTACTGTATATTTATTAAATAATAAACACAGGCTACATAATTTATAGTAAAATAGTATGTTTATTGTAAATCCTTAATGTGCTTCTTTTTTTTTTTTTTTTTTGTAACAGAAGTATTTTTAATGTTAATATTTTGAATTTTGGCGTTTATTATACAAAATTTGTTGTAAATATAGTTTTAATTTAGCACATCCTGCCAAGGTCTATGGTTCATTTTGGCTAATGTTAATGTCTTGAAGTCTTTCCAATATTTACAATATTTTATTTTATTATATTTTGCCAAGAATCCAGTGATGACAAACTTCGCCCATGATGACATAAAATATTACATAATATAGTTGCTTCTTAATCTAAAAGTATAAGACAAAAAATTCCAAATAACAACAAATAACAGTTGACCCCCCACCAAAAAAAAAAAAAATAATAATATAAATAAAATAAAATGATAATAATGATAGTAATAATGGTAATGATAATAATAGTAGTAGTAGTAGTGGTGGTAGTGGTTATTGAAATAATAATTAATATAACGTAGTAATGAGTATTGCAATGTAATAATTGTGATTATATGTGCTTGTTCTTTAATATTTGCCTTCTTCTAAAGGGATTGAAATGCTAGATGTAGATGAAGAAGCAGAAGAAGGTGATACATTTAAGATGAGGTGCAAATATGGACCACCAGATGCGTGCATATTAGATTGCATTTGGGATAAGGATGATCCACGGTTTAAAGAAATTACAGATTATAAAATGGGGAACAGCCGTCTGGAGATCCCTAAGGTGACATCAGCAGATGCTGGCAAGTATCAATGCATTGTTAAGCTACATGGTGGAAGACAGGCAAAGGCCAATAGGATGCTTGTTGTCAACAAAGGTATAGATACTTCATTGATTTATTCTTTAATTTGTTTATATCTTCATTAAAATAAATATACTAACAGGGCTCTATTTTTTCATTTTCTTTTTACTAGCCAACTGGGCTAGTTCAATGTAGATTTCACTAGCCCACAGGATATTTTACTAGCCCAATCATTGGCTATACAATACTCCATTACATACAATACTGTATGTTGTTTTGCCGTTCGCATATTTGGGATTTTAGTTGACCGCAGATAGGATAAAAGCTAGGCCTTGTATTAACTTAATATGTTTTTCTTATTGAAAAAATAGCTGTGTATGCTACAGCAGTCTTTCTGCACATACAAATAAACAACAATGATGACAATGGTGCTTGTGTTGATGATGATTTTAGTGATAAACAATAAACATTCTGATGATGATGAAAAAAGCATACAACTTTACATACAGTTCACCCTCCAATTCGAGCCCTCTATTTTGAGACTACATTTTCAAATTGCCAACAAACAAGATTCAGTCTTTTAATTCTAAGCTACCCTCTAAATGTACAGCAGCAGTTTAGATCCATTGGAGTGTAAACTTTATTGTAAATAAAACTAAAAATTACAATATAAAACAGTTAATCATTCTTGGGGTTTTTTTTCAGCTCCTTTTACAATGAAGATTCCAGATGCTACAACCAATGCTGGCATTAATATTGTCAGGTTGTATTTAAACATAACTACTGAAAGTATAGTTGAACAGAAAAAAATAGTAAACATCAGATGGTACAAGGGTAAAGAAAAAGAAAAAATTCTAACTTCTTTAAAGGAATCCAATAGCAAAAGACGCTATCAGACAGCACTTAAGGCGGATAATGTTTATTATTTGTCCATCAAAGATGTAACAACTGAAGATTCTGGAGAATACTGTTGTGAGGTGGAAGTGAAGGGAAGGAAGTTTCTATATGATTGTGCAGGAATTTTAAAGGTTGAAGGTACAGTAATCAATGTATTTGAAAAAAACTTGAAAATTTGTCTGGTTTCACTGCTATGGTGTTTAAGGAGTAAATGAATTAGTAATCTGACCTCAAACTAATTTACAGTTTTCCTCCCATTTAAAGACCACTTTAATGGACCAGAACATGATGGGTGTCTCGGGATTTGAGCTCCAATTATTAGAGAGTTAGGTTAGTGTTAAAAGATAAATTTAGTACTTAAATTAGGGAAATCTTGGAATTAGAGGAGGCTGAACTTTACTTTCAATTTAATAGAACAAATTTTGCCTCAGACGAAAATATATACATATACTTATGCAGTAAAAATACAGTACTAACATATCAGTGGCGGATAAAGGAATTTGAAATAGGAGGCCTGGAGAGGGACTTCCACAGGTGGTGGTCTATAATACCTCAGCCCCACCATGGTTGGGGTTGAGGTAAAAAAAATTATGATTATGGCACCTCTAGATGGCCAGAAATGGCACTTTTAGATTCAAAATTTGATTCGAATTTCCCTTTTTTCAATATTTTTTAAATTTTGAAAAATTTAGGTGGGGGGCCCTTGAATCCGCCTATGCATATTATTGCACCATAGAATGTTGTGCAAGGCCTAAACAGATATTGTAGTTTAACTATGTGTGAAATATATATTATGGCTTCTGTTGTTTTTGGTGTTGCTTCTGCTGATTATTATAATTATAGATAATATCCTATTATTTGTGGGATATAGTTTAATTGAATAGAAATAACAATTAACCTAAATTGAATGAAATTTGTATAAAATGATGTAAATTAAAAACTATTTACCATTAATAAAAAAAAATTATTACATGTTTTTGTTATTACACAGATCCTGTATTGAGCATTGTAGATGAACATATCAATGTCATACAAGGCGAGGATGTTGATTTGTGTTTCAAGTTGTTGAATCCCAATTTTGAATTTGACTCCTTTACCATCTACAAAATGTCTTCTGGTACTTGGAAAAAAGTAGCTGGGTCAGACGATGTTTCTTATTTAAAAGAGAAACAACAATTCATTTTTACCATTACACAAGTTGAATGTTCACAAGCTGGATCCTACATTTGTCGGTATTTTACTAAAATTCTTGTTGGTAAGGAGAGTGTAGTCTACTCATCTGCAACTACTTGTTTAAGTATTAATGAAAATGAAAGTAAGTTTACTGTATTATTCATTTTATTTTCATACACTTTAATAATTATTAGGTGCTTCTTTCATAGAAACACAACAAACAAAAAACATAAAAACGTTGTCTTATGTGGTGATCTTAATTTACCCGACATTGATTGTGTTAACGCCTGTGTGAAACTCGAGAGTAAACAGAAAAGTCTACATCGTCGAGCTCTGGAGATTTTTGGAGAGCTACCATTCATCCAACTTGTTACTATTGTTACCAGGCCAGCATCCAAAAATATTTCGGATCTTATCTTCAACAACAATCAGAATATGATATCTGATATAGAAACTCATCCAGGCATTTCAGATCATCATATTGTTATATGTACCATTAACATTTCACCAAAGTTAAAGCGTAAACCCCCTAGGAAGATATACAATTACAGCAAAGCTGACAATTGCTCTTTGAAGAAATCACTTCAAAATGAAACAAAGATTTTTTGCTTGCAATCCCGCGGGCCATGATGAACACAATTGACACAAACTGGGCAAAATTCAAGGAAATTGTGGACACACATATGGAAAGATTCATACCTTATAAAATGTCCAAATCTAAGCAGTCTTACCCCTGGATAAATCAGTTTATAACGAGACAGATGAGGAAAAGAGACAGTTTATACAAAAAAATACAAAATGGCAAATCAATCAACCGGCGAATCAAATCTGTGGAAAGCTTTCAAGAAACAAAGAAACTATGTTTTGCACAGCAGTCAAAACCACTATATGGAGAAGGTTGTTGGTCCCTCACTGGATTCAAACCCCAAACAATTCTGGTCTTATGTACGATCTCTAAGAAGGGAATCTCTGGCCATCCCTCCACTTGTGGTCAACGGTAAAACTCATGCCACTGACAAGGGAATTGCCGAAGCTTTGAATAGTCAATTTACCTCCGTTTTTACCAAGGAGAATGCCAGCGATATGCCAACAAAAGGAAAATGCCCTTTTCCTGACATCCAGGATCTAAGTATTGATCTCAATGGTGTGATTAAACAGCTCCAGGAACTGAAATGTAACAAGGCAAGTGGGCCAGATAACATCATCTCTAAATTTCTCCATGACTATGCAAGTGACCTTGGCCTAATACTACACTTTATCATCAAGCAATCATACAATACTGGTGTTCTACCCTCTGATTGGGAAAAAAGCTCTGGTGACAGGTATACATAAGAAAGGCTCAAAATCTGCACCTGAAAATTATCGCCCTGTGGGCCTTACTTGTATCTGCTCCAAGATTATGGAGCACATTGTCCTTTCGAACATGAATATACATCGTGCTGCTAACAAAATTATAATTGACCAGCAACATTGTTTCAGAGAAAAGTTGTCCTGCGAGACTCAACTTATTCAGGCCACACATGACTGGACCGAAGTTTTGAACTGTGGAGGGCAGACAGATGTTTTGTTACTTGACTTTAGCAAAGCATTTGACAAAGAGGGAAAACCTTACAATGGATTGAAAGGTTCCTAAACGGGCGTGAGTAATGTGTAACCGTCAATGGAACACATTCCAAGTGGTCACCAGTTACATCAGGGGTACTGCAGGGCTCCGTTTTAGGGCCGACTCTCTTTCTAGTTTATATTAATGATATTGTGGAAGGTATCAGCTCAAATCTACGGCTGTTTGCCGATGACAGTATCTTATACACAGAAATCAAGAGCTCTAGATATCAGATTCAACTTCAAAGTGATCTACAAAAAGGTTTCAACTGAGCCGAAAAATGGCAGATGTGCTTCAATATCTCCAAATGTGAGTTCCTTCAAATTACGCGTAAAAAAAACCCCCATAAAACATACCTATAACATTAATGGAAAAAACATCCCCGAACCCTCCCAACACAAATACCTGGGAGTGACCATCAACATGCACCTAGACTGGAAAGACCATGTGCAGAATATTACAACCAGTGCTCGTAGTACTCTAGGAGTTTTAAGGAAAAATCTTTTGTCATGTCCCAGGAATGTTAAGGAGCGTGCATACCGAGACCTTGTATGTCCAAAACTAGAATATTCATCTGCAGCATGGAACCCACACGCTAGTGGGCAAATGAACTTCTATAGAAGCTGTACAGCGTCAGGTAGCTCGTTTTGTCACCAACAACTTTGAAAGAACAGCCAGTGCCAGATTCCCCTGCTACACGAAGACTTTACCATCAGTGCTCCATGTTTTACAAGATTAAGTTTGGGTTGGTTAACATATATTTTCCAAGTTGTGATGTTCCAGCAAGCCGACCAGGACGAAACATCAATATCCTCAGCTACAAAAACATTCAATCAAGAGTAAACACTTACAGGTATTCTTTTTTTTTTGCGCACCATTCCTGTGTGGAATAGACTCCCTTCATCTGTCGTCGTAGCTTCTTCAATACAACAGTTCCAGAGTCTAGCGCTACCAATCTTGAGGGATCTTCAACCCATTCCAACCCATCAACATACTTAACTCTTTCTTAATATTTTACTTGCACAATTAATTTGTAAGGCACATTGGGGCACGTTTGCACAGCACAGGACTCCAGGGATAAGCGTTTTGTTGGCTTTTTATGGAGGATACAATTCAAGACTATGATTTTCAACACTATAAAATGTATTTTAAAGATTCTCATATAGTACAAATTTTAATAGTGCATCATAATAAAATATAAGATATTAAATAATATACACAATCAGACATCTTTATTAGTAAAACAGTGGTTTCTATATGCATTTCTTTCCTGTTTTACACCATGAGTCTTTTCCATACTTAAAATATATTTTGAATTTTTATTTATAAATATGTTTGTTTTGTAATCTCTGCCTTTTTTTTCTAAAGGGATTGAAATGGTACAGAGAGATGAAGCAGCAGAAGATGGTTATCCATTTCAGATGAGATGCAAATATGGACCACTAGATACGTGTGTATCAGGTTGCATTTGGAAGAAATTTCATGAGAATGGAACATCAACCAGTGTATCTGAAGATCCACGGTTTAAAATAACTACAGATGATAAAGGGAACAGTTTGTTAAAGATCTCGAGGATTACGTTAGCTGATGCTGGGAAATATCAGTGCATGTTTAAGCTGAATGATGGTAGACAGGTTGTGGCCAATAGGAAGCTTGTTGTCAACAAAGGTATATAGACATTTCTTGATTCATTCTTTATTTTGTTTATTTCTTCAATAATACCGAAATTTCTTCAATAATAATAATAATGACGAATTGGATAGAATATCGATCCTTATGCAATATTTTTCTCTTTGTTGATGTACTTGTTTTTTTATCTTTGCTGTTTGATTTTTTTAATGGTTTTAATTGTTAACATAATTTGCAATTCAGCCTTTTGGCTGCTATGTTTTATGTCTTAATTTGAATTTTGAATAAATATACCATTTTGAATGAATACCAAAAAAAATACTTTTTTTTTGACTTATTGAAAAACTTAGTGGAAACCAACTGTTATCCTTATGTGCCCAGGACATAAATACACAAAACAAATATTTCCTTATCAAACTTATTTTAATAATAACTACAACAACAGCAACATTTATTCATAAGGCGAGACTTCTTTATACCTTGTTTAGCAAACCCGCCACCGCCAATAATAATGATTTCAAATAAAAATAAAATTTTATTTTTGGCCAATTAACAAACCCCGTCGCCATGAAAAATGGTAGTTTCAGAAAAATATAGTAAGTTTTTCTTTATTTTTATTACTCCCACTCATGCCTTGAAATCTTAAAAAACACATTCACCAATAAAATTTTATTTTAATTTTCTCTTCTGTTTGGATGATTTTGGCAAACCTATTTGCTAACCGACGATCTCTAAAAAAATAAATTTGCGAATCAAGGTATAAAAAAGAGTCTCACCTAATTACTAATAATGTTAATAATAGAATTGAATCATAAATATTCCTATAATTAAGATCAATAAATAAATTGTTTTAACTGTCTTCTGATAATTAACATTACTTGCGCCTTTAAATTTTGGAATATTATTGTATATATTAGAAAAAAAAAGTGAATAAATAAAGTAAAGAGTACTTCCCCTAGTATTGTGAGATTGAAATTTGACCAAAGGAGTAAAGACCTCAACAATTTAGTAAGGAATTCTACCATCCAAGCTAATGCGAGAGTATGAGAGTCTCTTATTACAAATGATGCCAGCCCAAAGTTCTATGCATCAACATTTCTTGTTCTATGTTTGACCTTGAGGATCAGTCTTGCAGCTTCGTACTGTAGTTTTTTTGTAAATTATCACTTAACCCCACCCCTAAATTTCTTCTGATGACATCTGCATAGTTAAACAAAGGCATCCCTATAATTAAAATTAAGTGTATGACTATTAATGTATCTTCAAATTCTTTCTAGAACTCCGATTGTTCTAGACATTATCTGACATTTATAATCAATATGGTCTGTCTATGAGAGGGAGGGGTCTAGGGGTCTAGCCAAATTATTTATATTCAGGGTTCGAATTTCCTTAAAATGCTTCATCAGCAAGAAGTTGCTGTGGGCTCTGGCTTTACTACAGCAATTTATTCTTCTTCTCTACAGCAACAATCAACAGTTTTATTGTTTTTAAGGGTAAAATCCGTTGTTAGGCCTAAGCCTTGTTTAAGCAACTTGACAGCTAAAAGCTTGCTGTTGATCCTGGGGCTTACCACAGCAGTGGAAGGCCCTTTCTACAGCAATTGTTGTCGGTGCTGTCGGGAAATTCGAACCCTGATATTATTTGTATATATTAATGCTTGCGGTACACCACGTAGATAGTTCTGAAAAGAAATGTTGTTGATTGAAAATATCTTGACGTTTCGATTGAGCTGCATCAATTGTCTTCAGGAGAATTATATCTTCAGAAATCCCAAAAACTGTGAAATACTTATGTTTAGGTTGGTGAGACTTGCTGGTGATTGGTTGAAAACTAAAAATTGCAGAGACTATGTGTGAAAAGGCTAATACAAAAGCCAAAATTCACAGTCTGTGCAAAAAAAGTGGTTGGTGGCGGGTGGGTTGGTGGTAAAGCTAATACAGTGGCATTATTCTAGCTAGGTGAAAGGAAAGCCAAAAACAATGGCATGATTTCCAGTGTGGCGGCAAAGTGTGGTGGGAAAAGTGTGGATTGGTTTAGGTCCAATTGAAGATGTATTGTCCCATGCTAAATACCAAAAAAATCATAAAAATATTTTTAAAAATTAACTTGTTCATTTTGAAGTAACATAGAAGTTATCAACTTCAACATAGAAATTAGTGTATTTAAAAAATGTCTACCCATCAGTTTACAGCGAAAACTGATAGAAAAACTTCCAGTCACTGGTCTGGTGACCAAAACATCAAGAAAACTTAGAGCGATTGTGTTCCTCTTCCATGGTAAACATGATTGCTCTGTGTTGAGAATTCAGGTGATCTAGAAAACTAATTGAGTCGTCTTGCGGTTATTGACCAATTATGGATTGGTTAAGTTTGGTTTGAATGCGATCCATGTTGTCTTGTACAGAATGCAGTTAGAATGTGGCGTTGCTAATCTGCTCCCTTAAGTGACTGGCTGGCTTTCTGGAGGATAGCTCTGACAGTCCTAGTTTGAATAGGTAAAGAAAGTAAAAGGCCTTGAGGTATAACTTTATATATTCATCATCAATTTAAGATAGTACACTACTTACACCAAGTTTGAAATGCACACCATCGTGTCGGTATTCAATATTTTGACATTAATTATGTCATCATCCGGAATGATTGATCTTATCTGAGATTAATCAGTGGACCTTTTGGTAGTTTTTTTCATAATCAATTTATAGTCTATTATTATTCCATGCAAGCATGGGTTAGACTGTATTTAAAATGGCAGCTTTCCATTCTGCACAATTCTGTGCAAGCTCTTCCTTCAATTTTTTTTTTGGAATCTGGTGTTGTTTGGTTACATTTCTTATGACAGAGTGCCATTACTTAATTTAAGCTCATTAGTGTTTGTTTTTACTTTAATTTTTTTCTAAAGAGCATAATTTTATTTGTGCTCTTAAAGCCTGTTGCACTTTATGTTTGATATTCTGGACTAAATCCAGTGAAAAGAAAATGATCGCATCATCTGAATATAGAAAAAAAAACATACAACCTGTGCAATGCTGCTAATAGTCAAAAGGAGGGACCCAGTATAGATCCCTGGAAGTATGCGCTTTGGGAGACATGTGTGAGCTGACACTGTTCACATTAGTGATCTGCTTTCAGACACGAATTAACACAGTTTTTTTTAAATGATTTACACATTGTAAATTATGATACATATATTGCAATGTATAGATAGATGGTTGGTTGGTGAGGGTGTAATGGTACTGGGTCTGTCAGCTCTTTAGCATTTAATGTAAATGGGTGTTGTACAGTAGACGATGGTACTTTAAGTGATATAGACTACAGCATGTTCAATTGATTAACTCCAGGTTTTTTCAGTTTAGATACTATGAGTTTAAACCTTTTAGAGTAGATTCAGTTTCTGACTTATTTTTGAATTCCTAATCTTCTACTTCTCTACGTCTTAATCCATCAGTGATATTGGAGTGTTCCTCTCTATAGCAAAGATGTTAGGGTTGTGTCCTAACTAAGTCATGTTTTGGGGGTTTATATACTTGTTTGTTGCAATTCCTTGAGATAGACATGTCAAAATATTGATGTTTATGTTTATGTCCAATTGTCCAGGGGTGAATTGCTTGTCAATCAATATAGAATGACAAATTGTATAATTAGAAGGCCAGTATACTCAAGTGGACCATTAAGTTCAGACAAAGGTGAGACCAACTTGAGACATTCAATAGGAAAAGGGTATCTATATACAAATTTTAATCATTATAAGTTAATACTAATTACTATTGTAGAAGTGGTTTGGTATGGTACAGTAGTGCTTTATACCGAAACAGTCACAGAGCGCTTGAGATGTGGACTACTGTAGCTCTTATAGTAACTTGCTTCTCCCCTGGATCTCTTCTTGTTTAAGCTACCTAGTAAACTGGTACCAGCTACTCCAGTCTGTCAATGCTGTAGCTCAAACAATATATTTAATCTGTTCACCAACCATTTGCATCAATAAATAATTGTTTATTCCACTATAATGAGTGATGAAATTTTTATTGAATGTTTGATTTTAATTTTTATGTCTTGAGTACAAAACCATGTGGTGTGTTGCAAAAAGTAAGAAAGTGGTGTGATGGTGAGGATAATTATGATTTTAATGGTGGTGATTTATGTTGTAATGATTCCCATGATGAAGCTAGGTGATATTTAATTATAATTTATTTTTTATTTATTTATTCTTTCTTTAGAATATACACTTTCAATACATAGTACTGGTTTCCAAAGTGGTCCAGTTCTTAACTACAAAATTTTAAAAGCAGATATATATACACATTGTAACCAAAAAATATTGATAAATTAACTACAAATTAAAAAATTTAAAAGGAACATTAAAAGGAACTTAAGAAAATAAAACATTTTAATAATAAATATGGGTATGCAAGGTAAGAGAAAATCAGGTTAAATTAAGATGGTATTATTGAGGATTTTAAGTAAAATGCTTAAAATTTGAAAGTGTCATAGATTTAAAGTTGGTTTTAGTATGATCCGGGAGTTTATTCCATAATTTAGTAGATCGGTATACAAAATTTCTTTTACCTTGCATATTATTCCAGGTGTATTTTTTTTAGTGTATTTTTACTTTGGCTGCGAGTACAATGCGTATGCAAACCATAATTGAAAACAAAATTTTTTGATAAATATGATGGAGCATGACCATTTAAACATTTGAAAATCATTATGAGCAATTGTTCGTCCCATTTATCACTGAGTTTGCTCCAACCTAACGAACTTAAATTATTTACAACTGGGTTTTTATGAATGCAGAAAGTAAAAGAATTAAAAGAATTTGAAGTGAATTTGAAAGTTCAATATTACAGTTGGACCAAACACAATTACAGTAATCAACGAGAGGTATAACTAGAGCGTTAGCCAACATCTTAAGAGTATTATGGGGTAAAATATATTTAACACGGCGGATAACACCAATGCATTTAGAGATGTTACCAGTTGATTTTTCAATATGTTCAGACCCATGTTAATTTAGAATCAAACACAAACACTATATTTAAATATTTGAATGAATCAACTCTGTCAATAGTCATGCCATTATTTAGGTTCCAAAGATCATAAGTTTAGTTTTCTTAATATTTAATGTAAGTTTATCAAACCATTCTGCAACTTTGAATAAATTTGAATTTAGTTCATTTTGGAGAAGAGGAGTGGGATCGGAAGAATTGCATAAAATGGTAGTATCGTCTGCATACATTTGGTAGGGAATTAACATAGATAATAAATAACAATGGGCCTAAAATGGACCCTTAGGGGATACCAATGTTAATTTTCGTTGGATCAGATAGGGTTGAATTAATTTAAACATTTTGAGACCTATTATCAAGATAAAAAATGAACCAATTTAGGGCAGATTCCTGAATTCCACAGTCTTTAAGTTTTGATATGAGGAGTTTGTGATCAATTGTGTCAAAGGCCTTTTTCAAATCTATAAAGATGGCTGCAGTTGCTTTGCCTTCATTTAAATTATTGAGAATATAATCTAACACATCGATAAGGGTATAGTATTTGTTGAATGGTTTTTCCTAAAGCCAGATTGGGATTCATTCAAAATATTAACTCTTGTCAAATAATTGTTGGTGTACAGCATGTTCAATGATCTTAGTTACTAGTGGTAGGATGGATATAGGTCTGTAATTGTTTGGATCGGCTTTGTCACCCCATGAGGAAACTTCACCATTTACCAAATCTTACATTTTTGAACCAGGTTTTGCCGATCTCTTCTTATCTCTATTAATTACTGCTTCAGGGAATTTTGTAACAAGATTAACAGTGAGGCTCATTAGTTGTGAATAGTTCATAAGAAGACTAGCACAATTAAATAAAAAACCATGTTGTAACTTCTAACATAAGTCATTGGTTTTTTTAATTCAAAAGCATATCTATTATGATTTTTATCTGAAATTATAGCTAAGGTAATAAAAAGGCTAAATTATTTTGAACAACTGGTTTTTAAATTTTTCCAGCCTGGTTTTTAAATACTATACTGGTAATTTATTGAGAAACAGCAATGCCTGCTGTGATAATGACTCTTAAGTAGAGGTATTCTTCTTTGATGTTTAATTGGATTATTGAGATAAGATTCTAGCAAAACCTGGTTCACCTGAATGCCCTTTTAAAGGGTTTGCTGGTAAATGGGATAGTAACAGCATGCTCTTTGTAAATAGGAGTGACCCTTGCTTGTTTCCATTCAAGTGGAAAAGTTGAAGTAAATAGTGACAGATTGACAGAATATATAAGCAAGTGAGTGACAAATTACAAGCGCTGCCAATTTTAGAAGTTTACAGTCTATACCATCCAGTCCACTAGCCTTATTGTTAGAAAGTTTACAGATTTAATCAAAAACAGGCAGTGGCGTAGAAAAATATCTTTCATTGGGGGGGGGGGGGATGATTGGCGTGTTAGCCAGTGTCGTAACAGGCGCGGGGGGTGGGGCAGGGGGAAAACTGCCCCTCCCCTGACGGTTATTATCATCTTTGTAAGCGCATAAGACAGTGCAAATTATTTCTGTGACAGTCTTTTGAAGTGTGTAAAGCTCCATTTTATCCCATACATAGTCAAAATATTGGGGGGATGATTCAATGGACCATCCCCCCCTAGTCAAATATTGGGGGGGATATATCCCCTCCATCCCCCCCGGGATCTACGCCTATGAAAACAGGTTTAATAATATCAAAATTGAAAAGCTCATAATAATGATGAAAGTGAAGATAATGCAATTGATGACAATGGTGTTAGTGATGATTTTTGATGATAAACTTAATAAACATGCTGATGATGATGGGAAAAAAAAAGAAGACATACTATACAACTTTGCATACAGTTCACCCTCCAATTCGATACCCCTATGATTTTGAAGCCCCTCTAATTTGAGACCACATTATCAGCTAAGAAAACCTACCCTCTAAATGATGACCAAACTCTGAAACAAAATAAAATTTTCAGATCCCAAAGGTGATTTAAAATTGAAGTGTAAACTGTTTCTAATTTACATAAAACTAAAAATTACAATAAGACAACACAGTTAATCCATTTTTTTCATTTTTTCAGCATATTACTCAATAGAGATCCCAGATGCTACAACCAGTGATGGTATTAACATTGTCAGGTTGTATTTAAACGTAACTACTGAAAGTAAAGCCAAACAGAAAGAAATAGTAAACATCACATGGTACAAGGGTAAATCCACAGAAAACGTTCTAACTTCTTTAAAGAATTCCAACAGCAAAAGACGCTATCAGACAGCACTTGAGGATAATAATGTTTATTATTTGTCCATCAAAGATGTAACAGTTGAAGATGCTGGAGAATACTTTTGTGAGATGGAAGTGGAAGGTAGAAAGTTGGCATATACTTGTAGTGGATTTTTAAAGGTTGAAGGTACAGTAGTCAGTGTATTTTAAAAGAGACTCGTTCAGTGATGTATTTCATGAAAATGCTTCTGGTTTCACTGCTATGGTGTTCGCACTCAAGGAGTGAATTAATTTGTAAACCCATATTGGTAGACTTCAAAATATATTTCAGTTTGCATTACAGTTTGAGACCACCTTAAGGACCACTGAAAATGTGAGGTGGTCTTTTGATTTGATCTACAATTATAGAGTTAGCTTTATGTTAAAAGATTAAATAATGGTTGAAGTTGGTACTTTATAAAATGGTCTTGAATTAGAGGGATCTCGGAATTGTTTTTGACAATTATTCCATGTTCTTTATTTTTGCACAGGTCGTGTATTGAGCATTGTGGATAAACATATCACAGGCATACAAGGCGAAGATGTTGATCTGCGTTTTAAATTGTTGAATCCCAATTTGGAATTTGACTCCTTTGTGTTCTACACAATGTCATCTGGTACTCTTCAAAAAGTAGCTGGGTCAGATGATGTTTTTAATTTTAAATACAAGACTCAATATTTAACAGAGAAACAACAATTCATTCTGACCATTTTAAATATTAAATGTTCACAAGCTGATACCTACATGTGTCAGTGTTTTACTAAATATCGTGTTGGTAAGGAAAGTGTTGGCTACTCATCTGCAACTACTTGCTTAAGCATTAATAAATATGAAAGTAAGTCTACTGTATTAGTCATTTTGTTTTCATACAATTTAAAACAATTTTCAGATGCTTTATTCATGTAATATCTAGCAAAATGTAAAATGTAATTTTAAGATTCACATGAAGTAAATGGACAGGTGGTTTCAATAAATAAACATTACATTATATTTTATTAGCCATTTTAGTGGAATGGGGCCACCCTTCTGTCTGGATGGAGCTTGTGTTCCTGCAAGAGGTATACTCTTCGCCCTGATAGCTCATTTGATAGATAATCCAAACAGTAATCAGAGGGTCGGGGGTTGAATCTCAATGGGCGCAATACAGTTTTTCACAAATATTTTTGTGTTTATTATACTATCATGTGATTTCATTTTTTACATAACTTGGGTGGATGCAGGATTTTGCTAAGTGAGGGGATGCAGGTTGATCTAAAAAATTGCATTGCTTCCTAAAGCACCCAAGGTTTTAGGCTTCAACACCTGTGAAGAAGCAATTCCCATCCTTTGAAACATTTTTTTGCACATAAAAACTCATTTGGAAACGAAGGCTCATTTACGATATGTGGGTCATGTGTTTAGAATGGATTTATTGATTGTAGAAGTGTTATAGCCTCCTCGTAGCTGGCTTAAAACATATAGCCAGCTAACTGATTACACTGCAATATGGCAGTGGTCAATATTTACTAGCAACTATAGTAGCCGACTATTGAGCTTTAAAGACCGTCTATAGACTGCATATAATAATCCACCCCTGAAAATCCTAGCTTTTGGTAACAACATTGATGGCTACATGTTTTGTATGTATGGTAATATAATTTGTATATATTCATAATGACTTTGATCTGTTACAGAGTGTGAAATAATACATTTTCTAATTTTCTATGTTTTTTCAGCCATTAACATGTTCAATAATTTAGCATATGATGGAGAAGAGAGTACAACTATAGCATGTGTCTATCATCTTGAAAGTAAGGTGAATATGATAAGGTGGATAATAAAAACAACAGAAGGGATGACCCGTGAGTTTGAATTGGGAGAAGACGAATCAGAAACACTACAGAACACACAGAAATATGAATTTTATTGTAGTCAAGATTGTGCTAAATTGGTGATTAAAGAAGTGACAGTGGCTGATGCTGGTTTTTATACATGTGAAGTAACTTCAAAAAAACCGCTACTTTATCGTGACGTAATAATCAGGACATCGGCAACTCTATCTGTGCCATGTAAGCTTACTTTTTAATAGTTTCTCAAGAGTGTTATAATTTTACTTATAAATATACTATAAAAGAAGATAATGTAAATAATTTTAAGTTAAAAATAAATACTTTTTGTAAGCATTGAGTCAGCTAGTTATACTTTAACCATAGTAAATAAACTAAAATTTATTGCTGAGCTATAGCTAAAAATAATATATTTATTATCAGTGTCTTATTTGATGTATTTTTTTCATATTTCAGTCCCTGTGTTTGGTTCAGCTATAAAACCTGAACCTGGTCAAGTTTACAGGTATTTTGATAATTATTAAAGACAAGTTTGTCTTTAACGTTGAAGTTATTTAACAGTTCTGTTCCATAGACCAGCATAGCTCAGTTGGCTAAGCTGGTGGTAGCCACTGTGTGTGCTATAAACCATTGAGAACCTTCCAGAACATTGGTCCGTGGTTCAATTCAATTGTTGTTCTCCATGTGTTTCAGCTGGAGGACTGAATACAACTTAAAATAGTGCACCATTTTCAGATGAGAGGTTGTTCCATGACCACATATGACCACATAATTGTTGGTTAGGAATGTGGGAATATCTCACCATGTACTGCCCAATTCACACTAGGAGTAGACAGTAGCAGACAGTGGATTATCTGAATTTACTATCATCATGTACAGTAATTCCCATTTTACAATTGGCATATAATGATCTAATTACATTTTCTGGTGATGATTTTAATACCAATTTACAACTATAAACCAAGGTTTTCATAACTGTAACTTAACTGCATTAACCAACAATACTGTGTGCTTAGGCAAGCGCGCACCACAGACCATCTTGAAATCAATGTCATGTTTCTTTCTAAAATCTTGAACGTGGGCTGGATTTACGCTCATGGTACTGTAGGTCTTCCAATCATATTTCTGTTGGCTGTACCTGGTGAATCTCACACTGAAAAAAATTAATCCAATTAATCAATATGTATTCCATAATTTTTCAATAATCTATTTTTTTTTTTTTTTTTTTTTGCCATAGAAGTCCTGCTGTAGTCATTGTCAACTTGAATTGTATTGTATTTTGTGAAGAGCAAGTTAAAAAAAACTATACAAGGGTATTGTTGCGGAGAGGTGAATTGAAAGAACATAATAGAATCGATTGGGGACCTGAACAAAGCATAATAGACAAGGATAATAGAAGGTATTTAATCTTTTAATCCAGTTCAGATTGAGTTTTTAGGTACTTTAAAAATAAATGTATTGTTTGATATTCCAATGTGAAGAGGCTTGAAACCCCAACACTTTCTCGCTCCGACAAGGGCGGCACTAGCAGGGGGACTTGGGAGAAGGACCCCTGTCAGGGACCACTGGACCCCCTGTCGAGGAATTTCGTCGGGGGAAAATAAAATCTCGACTGCTTAAAGTACAATCTAGGTATGCCTGACTAAGCTGTCAAATTTTGATTGGCCGTTGTCGGGGAGCTTGGACTCCCTTGTCAGGGAGCTGAACCCCTCGTCCCCCTCGGAATTCCTATTTCTTATTTTGGACATGTTACCACAATGACTTTCCAAATAGCACCAGAAAAAAAAGAGTTGACAGTAAGAGGAAAAAGGATTTTAAAATGACTACTGTACTTAACATGTATTTTCTTGGGAAACAAGTGAGAAGTTAAACCAGTTAACAAAGGAAAGGCAAATCACAAGAAAACAGAAGTTTACAAATATATAAAAGAAACATTGGAAATCATAAATAAAGAGATTAGTAATGAAGTAAATTATTTTCACAATCAACATTTGGAGAAAATAGGCAAAGAAAATTTATAGTTAAACAACACCATCATATATTGTAAATATGTGGCAAAAAGCTAAAGAAATCAAAACATATTACTTTTACAGGAATTACCAAACACTTTAGGAGCCATTTTAATCCATATTATGACTTGGTGATTTCTTGAAATCCTCAATACTCCTGCCTATGTTATTAAACTACAAGATAACAATTTATGGATAAAAAATACAGTACCCTCTTTACTAGAGATGGAAGACTTTATCAACAGTCTTAAAAATGGAAAAAAAGTCATTGGATATTGAGGGGAAATACTATATAATTACAAATAGGCATTGTTTTGAAAAAAATAGGAGTGGCTTATACTGTAGGGGAAGATTTAGGGGGTAGGGGGCAGGCTTTTTGCAAGGTAAATAAAAGTAGAAACAAACAATGATTGACCACCCAAAAAAGCCCCAGAGGTTATTATCTATATTATCTAGAACACAACACAATTTATATGAGGCATTCTCCCGGACAACTAGGGTAGTATTATCTCAATCGGCCAAATTTTTGGCCCTCCTTTCATCCCCCTCCTTTTGGACATCTTTGGATCTGCCCCTGTACTGTTGCGTATCTAAAGGGTGTGTTGCCCCAAAAACTTGCACCCAAATTTGCTGAGTTAAAATTACATTCAAGTTAGTAGCAATATGTTGCGAACCTGATCGAAATTGTCGTTCTAGGCACTGTGGGTTGAATACTAGGGGCCTAAAGTATGTAAGTAGATAACTAGTAGTAGTACACTAGCTACAGTTGTAGTATGGGCCCTTCATTCGTCCATAAGCTTGTTGGTCAGTATATTTAATTTTTAAAGGAAGATCTGTTAAAAATTTGTCATTAATTTTTTTTTGTCAAAAAAACACAATTTTATGCACCATAGAATACTTCACTATTAACTTCCTTTCTCCCAGCCTAGTTTTGTGCTCGCATTACAAAAATGATGAAGGCAGTGAGTGGTTTCCTATTTTGTATCATGATTTAGTAATTTTTCTGTCAGATTTTTTGTCCAGTACTTTTCCTGTCTGAATTGGAAAGTACTGTGTATGAACAAGAGGATATACAGGGGTCAAGATCAGCTAAAAGACATTGATTTTGTTGGTGTACAAGTATACTATATGTTTAAAAACAATTCACCTGACATTGTTTCCATCAATAATAATTCTTAATATAGTAATCTTAATGGTATTCCTGTGTGGATGGCTGTCTGTCTATTCTCGTGCTTTGTTAACTTTGAATTTATTGCTTGTTGTAATTTTAAAATAGAATCGACCTCAAAGATAAACTAACCTGTACAAACAATATGACTAGAATTACAGAATATGTGCAGAGAATACTGTTTTGGCAAGAAAATTCACTTACAAAATATACAATCATAAAATATAAGTATCAAGTTATTCAAAAACATTAAAATCTAAATTTTGTAAATATATTGACTTTGGCCTGTTTTGGTGAATATCTCAATATGATTTCACCAACGATG